AGAGAGCTTTGATGAAAGGCAAACTGATTCACACTAATGAAGTCCTCGCCTCCTTGGGCGATGGGTACTTTGCGAAGTACAGTGCTGCAGGTGCGACAGCTCTTTGCCAAAGGAGGATACAAAGTAAGAGCGTGCATACAAACTAATACACAGCCACAAATGACTGTAATTTAATCATAAGATCGATTATAAAATTATAGAAGCTGAGGAGATGTTAAAGAGTCTGAATGCAGAGAGGGATTTGTTTGAAACGAGAATTCTGGCATCAGAAACTAATCTGTTTGAAGAACCTGCTGGTGGTGAAATCGTGGAACATTGGAACGAAGATCAAATCGCAGAATGGAAAAGTAATTATATTTTGATTAATTTTTATTTTGTAAATAGTTATATGATTTTTCTGATTCTTACAGAAAAGCACAGAGAAAAGGAGAAAGAGTATCATGAAAAATTAGCGAAAATCCGACAAGAGGAAAGAAAGAAGATAGAGACTGAGGAGGACTTGTTTAAGAGGGTGGATCAACTTGAACTGGAAGAGGAATTAGTCGATGAACTTAATAGGTAAATTAATGAAATAAACAGTGCCCCTTCAAGTTTGTATTAAGGTTGTATGAGCCTTAGGATCTTTGCCAAAAGTTTAAGACATGTAATAAACAGCTGTGTCCCACTATTTGAAGCAATGAACTTTTAGAAAAATTACACAATTTCTAATGTTCTAATACGTAGCTTTGGCATTCTTTTATTGGACTGTACTTGATTTGTTCGCACTGTTCGCAGACTGGAAGATGAGAAGTATGAAATTCTACGAGGAGAGTTGGGAGAAGAATGCTATTACGAATCAGAATCTTCGTCAGAGAGTCAAGAAGACGATGTCAATGACGAAGTAGAAGACTCCAAAGAAGAAACAGAAGGAAACTTCAAAGTAAAAACAGAAGATTTCAAAAAGAAAATAAGGAAGTCCCTTCTGCTAATAAAGAAGAACCGGAAGAATCATCAAAAGATACTCGTAAACATAGAAAATCGGTTTCATTCGTAGACGCAGATACTCTGAAAGAAGAAAAGAAGAATTCATCAAAAATAGAGGATGAATCTAGCAAAGAGGATGATATACTTAGAATAGAATTCACGCATTCCGAGAATACTCCGTCGGAGATTTCAGAGGGAGATTTAATAAGAACGCCGGCGTATATTTACAGGTTGTTTTCGAGGCCGAAATCGATTCTCAAGAGATCTCCCAACGATCTGACTCCCGTACAAGATGCTCCACCGGAGTACAGCACAGACGACGAGGAAGACGACGACGAAACTGTCAGACCCTCCGCGTATGAAAACGTAATTCTCGTCATTTATACATTCACGATTCACTCGCGATTGGTCAATTTTCACCGACTCTTCACTGACGTTACATCGGCCACAGGTTTAACCAATGAGCCGAATAAGAATCAGAAAATTAATCATTGAATAGCCGTGCGATGACATTTTACAGAACCTGAATACATAATTTCCTGTTTAATTAAGTTTTCCTATCGCCATAGAGGTATTCTAAACCAGGTATTCTAAATCATCACGTACAGTTCTATTTTTAAGAGATAGAAAGCCGGATTATGGCCGGTATTCACAGTCCGTGCTCAAGCAATTGCTTGAGCAATTGCTTGAC